AAACACAAGTATGTATGAATGTGTGTGAATGTCACTTAGAAAGCACTTACAAAAATGTGCTTGTGCGAATAGGTGTGAATGCACAAGTTGTGTAAAGTGCTTTGAGTGCTCAGAAGAGTAGAAAAGCGCTATATAAGAACCAGTCCATTTACCATTTACAAGGAGAACATGCAAACTCCACACAGAAAGACCCCAGCCAGGTGGTGGAATCAAACTCGGGACTGTCACTGTGCCACTATGCTGCCGCTATTTTACTGTGAGTCAGAATAAAAAGGGAAATAGATTTAAATGCAAGGTTTAATTTTATTGGATTGATACATATATATCAATAAGACAGTGCACATCACTTTCACAACAGCGTTTGTTTTCAAAGACTTTATGGCTTTTCCTATAATACCTGGTGGGCCGGTCTCTAGTCAAAATGGCCAGGTCGATTTTTTTTTGTCCCATTCCAGCTCTGCATTGTGGCATGTTCCACTGTGGCAGGCAGGAAGTAGGACCCAAAATGCAGGACGCTCAGACGAGGGAGTAAACTCAAAGAGGCTGCTTTATTGCAGTTGCAATGAAAAAACTCAATAAACATTACACTTGCAAAACAAACAAACAAAAAACTAGAAACCTAGGACCACTGAGCACAGAGGAAAACACACATTATGAGCAGACAACACGACAGACAACAGAAGAAAACACAGAGTTTATATACACAGAGGGAGTGATCAGGGAACAGGAAACCGGAGGGGGACATGGCTGGGATTAATTGGGCATAACAAGATAGGGGAAAGCAAAACTGAATGCAGTGACATGAAACACAGACCTTCAAAGTAAAACAGGAAACACATGGACAGAACTCCAGACATGTAAACTTAACAGACTGCGGAGACAGAACATAGAGACCTGAGACGTGGGACAGAAAGAGAGGCCACAACACACAACACAGATTCATTAAGTAGTTCATTTTGTGCATAATTTTATATTGTTGTTGATTATAAATTAATTAAAGCAACAAAACAACCTGAAGGGCCACTTGGGAGCCGGTTCTCTTAAAAGAGCTGGAATTCCCATCACTACTGACCATGCATGGAGGGTTTCACCCCAAGTCCAGCACCCTGAGGCTGCATGCTAAGCAAAAGAAAAGAGGCCTGGGACTAGTGAGTGTCAGTACCACAGTCCAGGATGGGACAAGAACATCAACGAGTACATCAGGAAGAGGGTTGAAACAATGAAACAATGTCATTGTTAGACCGCAAGTGTCCTGTGATTACGTGTAATTTTTGTGTAACATGTTTTGTAAAGGAAACAATAAAATAATAATGATAATATAAAATTCAATTAGGCATACAATGAATTGTGTACATCAATAATACTTGTTTTATTAGTCTTTCTATAATCACTTTAATACAATAGAAAAAAATCAGTATTACATGTTTGAACAGATTTTCTATTTATGAGAATTTTCGATCAACTCCTCTGTGACCTTTAGTTTTACGTTAAGTAATGAGCCATGAAGCAGAATTCCAAAGATGTAGTATCAGAAGTAGCAGCTAAACTTCATAAAATATACTGCAAGCATATTGCTAAAAATAACTGCACCAGTGTTGTGTTTGATTGACTTTTATCCTGTTTGAATCTGGTGTGTGTGAAACCTGCTTCCTCTGCAAGGTTCAGGGTTTCTGTCATGATTTACACTCTCCTCTGTGTTTGTATGATGGTCCTGTCAAGGTTTGAGTTTCAGTGTTTTTTAAATTGTGGATTTTTCGTGGAAAGTGCTCAAACTTTGGGCAATTGATTAATATTTTCTGCTCTTGTAGGTTCAACGTGTTTATTATTGTAGAAATGACTATGAATGATCTTTATTTTAACCCAAATATAGATGAACCCATGTGTGTCTCTAAACTACACAAAAACAAGTATTTCCAGTTGCTTTAATTAAAAAGAATCAGTAACTGCTACATTCAAAACAAATAGTTTAAATAGCTACATTGCTATAACATCTGCAGACAACAAAAATTAACCAACCACTATCTAAAATTGGTCTTACTCTGCTGTCGAGTGGCACTGAAGCTCTCCAATAACTGTCAGGCGCAGACAATAAAACGAGTGTGCAGCTCTCGGCCGAACGAAGAATCTGACAGGACAGTAAACTGGTGTAAAGGATGGAGGAATCCCATCATCTTGTACAGTTCATACTCCGTATTTAGAGCAGTGTCACAAAAAAGCTGCTGTTTATTTCTAACATTCATTTTAATAATGAAAAACAAATAACAGTTCATGCACTGCACAATGTTCTCTGTGAGATTCATAGCAGACCTAGCAGGTGTGTCTAAAATTGTGGCCAGTGAGTGTATGCGCTGTGTAAAAAGTCACAGATGAATAAGAGCCAGTAGGTGGCAGCAGAAGAGCTTCATTTTGCTCAACAAGTGATGGTTTTCATCACCTTGAGTCTGGCCTCAGTTTGACTGCCTTCAGCAGGCCTCATGTCCCATCAGTGATATATTAATACATAGTAAAACATGAATCTCTCTGTTGCTCTTAAAATGGACGAACAGATAAATACAGTGGTGAGAAATAGTTTTTTCAGCTGAGGCAGGTCTAGAATGCTGCTGCTCGCCTATTCACAGGGTTACGCAAACGTGAGAACCCCTGTTCTTGCCTCTTTACACCTGTTGCCTGTCCGTTTTAGAATTCATTTAAAAATTTTATTTTTTGCTTTTAACGTTTTAAATGGCCTGGCTCCTATTTACCTGTCAAACCTTCTACACCTGTACACTCCACAAAGGTCGCTTAGATCAACTGACCAGTCACCCCTTGCTGTCCCCTTGTTTAGACTGAAACAACTGGGGGACCAAGCTTTTGCTGTTGTGGCCCCCAAATTATGGAATAAACTGCCCCTCCATATTACACTGGCCCCAACACTTGAAATGTTTAAATCACTTTTAAAAACACACTTTTTTTCAAAGGCTTTTTAGGAGTAGTACCAGAGTCAGTTTGTAGTCAGTTTTAGTCAGCTGTTGGTCACTCTTAATCTTTTTATTTTGTTAATTTTATTCATTGTAGATTTTGTCTATTTTATTTATGTTTTAATATTTAATTTTTATCTTCTTTTTCATTTGTGTATTTATTTTGCATTAATTTATTTCTCTGCTTAATGTATGGCTTTTAACTGTTATCTCTGTTTATTATTGGAAAGCACTTTAGTCAACTTCACTGCT